AGGAAATTAGCACCTTTTTGTTCTTAATTTTGTTGCAGAACCACACGTTCTAACTGGTTTGTTTTGTGAGTTGGCATGATTACATGTAAGACAATTTACCTATCTCCCCATAATTTGAAACTTTTGGATGGTCATATAGGTGCTCTCTCTGCTTCCGCCGTATGAAGGGAAAACTGTGTTGGAACTGGGTGCTGGTATTGGCCGATTCACTGGTGAATTAGCCAATAAAGCTGGACAGCTTATAGCATTGGACTTTATTGAAGGCGCAATTAAGAAGGTTTTCAGTTGTTTTACCCTTCAGATATTTGCATTTTCTGTCTCCATCCAACATGTCCTGTCAATAAGTAGGGTTACTAGGATTAAGAAGAAAAGAAAAGAACTAGTTTAGAAGATTCATTTGTCATTTCTTCATTATTGATAAGTAATGATAAACTCATAGAATATGTTTGTGCATATCCTTATCTTTTAATGTGCTTCCTTGCAGAATGAAAACATAAATGGGTACCATAAGAATGTCAAGTTCATGTGTGCTGATGTGACTTCTCCGAATTTGAATTTTTCACCGGAATCGGTGGACTTGATATTTTCTAACTGGCTACTGATGTATCTTTCTGATGAAGAGGTAAATTCTCTCTTTTATTTGCCTCATCTTCCACATAGAAAAATCACTGTAGTTGCATCTATATTCTATACAAAGAACGAATCGCCAGTTAAATGTGTCAAATTTGGATATAGATGTATGCAAAACTGGCTATGAGACAGTTACTATATTAGCTAATATTCATCATGTTGGTTGGTTACTTTTGAGTATTTAAAGCATTTTCCTTTAAAAATCTATTTTAGTGGTGGTGTGGAGAGATCACGGTTAGGCAAAGCTTAAAATATACAGGCAAATAGTTAAGCTATGTTACATATACATGTTTAAACTAATTTGATTTTTCACTTAGTGACACACTAAGATCCTCAACAAAATGAAGCATTTTCTTTGCAAGAACATGATTTACAGCAGCATCATTAAAAATAAAAACTTAATGCCATACGTATTTAACCTTTATTTCCACAATGGCTTTAGGTTGAAAACATTGCTTTCAGCCCTATATGGCAATCTATAATTTGAGCACCTCTTTGACAACTGTAATTTGAATGATATGCTGAGTGCTAAATATCAGCTTTTAATATTGTTTTTCATATGATTTACTTACCTGTAGATATCAGCATCCATTATGGGTGTTAGCTTACTGGTGTAACAACTGTTAGAAATATTTCTCACTCTTTATAGGTTGCTGCCAAAATGTCTAGATATGAGATCTTCCTCACTCACCATACCTTTGCCTGATTTGAATTGCTGTACTTTTTTGTGACTTAAACATTTGAATTTGTTTCTACCCTTGCTGCAGGTTAAGGCTCTTGTTGAGAGAATGGTTAAATGGTTGAAAGTCGGTGGTCACATATTTTTCAGAGAGTCATGCTTCCATCAATCAGGAGACCACAAGCGAAAGAACAACCCAACCCACTATCGAGACCCTAGCTTTTATACAAAGGTCTTAACTTTGCTTTCAACTGTTTTCTTGTCCCACATTATGTTATGAGAGCTGCATTTTAAAAGAAAATTTATTATATCCTTGGAATTCAATTCAACACAGTGCTGAAGTATGTTACTGTGCTTACCAACTATTTGTCTTCATGTAGTAATTTTTTCACACTTCTGTGTGTATATTCCTGTCCTTTTTTCTTTGCCGTTAAGTGGTTCTCTTTGGTAAATCCTAGATAAGGCATTTTCTTTTCTCTGGAGTTTGATTATGTTTTTCTTAAGTGATCGCCGCTCTGTCATAAAGTGCTCTGAAACTCTACCATACCAAAAAGATGAAGTGCTTTGAAACTTTATTGTGCACTCTAAATTACCACTCTTTCTATTAGATAATTTAACCAAAAAAACTTACTTTACACAATGGAAGTATGAATAGTTTGAAGCGATGCATTTGTCAGTTGTCACTTTGGGAATAACTTGAGTTGATGCATCAATCAGTTGTCACCGGACATAGCTGGCCCCCATTCTCAATTGTTACTAAGAAAGTATAGTAAGAGCTGAAAAATAGCTGTCAAACACAGGTTTTCAGAGAATGTCACGTAAATGCTGGTGATGGAAAATCATTTGAACTTTCTCTTGCTGGTTGCAAGTGCATCGGAGCTTATGTGAAGAACAAAAAGAATCAAAATCAGGTAGAATTATGCTTACCTCATCAACCCTTTAGTTAGTTTGATATTAACCTGACTATCTAATCACTGTTTTGTTGCTGCTTGCACCTTGCAGATTTGCTGGACATGGCAGAAGGTTGCTTCTAAGGATGACATGGAATTTCAGCGTTTCTTGGATACTGTTCAGTACAAGTGTAGTGGCATACTACGATATGAACGAGTCTTTGGACAAGGTTTTGTTAGCACAGGAGGACTTGGTATGCCTCTCAGATTGCATGTTGTCTTGTTTACTGTAGAGGGATTGCAAATACGTGTTTGACAATCTTGGGACTACCATAGGGAGACAATACAACTTTTTCATTCATCATACTAGAGACTAGATCTATGTCTAGAAACCAATCATGCATTTGGCACGAGACAAAAACTTGTTTCCATAGATGCCTTTGCGATTTAACTTAAATGGGAGAACCCAATCAACCTTTGAGTGTCCAGAGGTTCCATGAATGTCAACCCCTTGGAATTTATTGGTTCTCCAATAATGTCCTTAGACCTTAGACTTTAAGCCCTTACCTTATTAAAAAAATGGCCCTTAGACTCTCAAGGTTATGCTTACTAAGTTTCTTTTGTTTCACTGTAATTGTGGTGAGGACTTATGCAGAGTGTGCACTTGGTACTGTGGAGATATCTGCTTGCAAGTGTGTCTTCTCGCTTGATGCAATGTTATTTTGTTCTTTTCCAATCATTTAGTTTCTGAGCAGTACTTGTTATTGAGCAGAAACTACAAAAGAATTTGTAGCCATGTTGGATCTTCAGCCTGGCCAAAAAGTCCTTGATGTTGGCTGTGGCATTGGAGGAGGTAACTTCTACATGGCTGAAAAGTACGATGTTCACGTTGTTGGCATTGACCTGTCTATCAACATGATATCTTTTGCTCTTGAGCGTGCTATTGGTCTCAAGTGTGCTGTTGAATTTGAGGTTGCTGATTGCACCAAGAAAACATATCCTGATTGTACATTTGATGTCATATACAGTCGGGATACTATCCTTCACATCCAGGTAATTCACCTGAGCTTCTAAATCTTTTCTTTATTCTACTTCTTTTCATTCCACTTGGTTCTTTCTTCAATTGCTATACCACGTACTTAATTGCAATTTCTGTGGTAAAAGTTGTCCTTTCTGTATGTATTCTTCTGCAGTCAACGTTGGCACAGTGTCATGTCATCTCATCTTCTTGGTCATCTTACAACTCCTCTGAAATGAATTTATTTTGCTCATTTTGTTTTTATCTTTCGTGACGGAAGGGCTTTGCACCACCCAAATTATCCCTCGCTTTTATCCTTTAACCGTTCACTGTTGAAGTCAATATCTTTATAATGTGTTGTTTCATGGTTTATTTATTTGTTGTTTCAACGGTGTGATGTCAGGACAAACCCGCACTGTTCAGATCTTTCTACAAGTGGCTGAGACCAGGAGGCAAAGTTCTTATAAGTGATTACTGCAAAAGAGCTGGACCAGCATCAAAAGAATTCGAAGGTTATATTAAGCAAAGGGGGTATGATTTACATGATGTTGAAGCATATGGGCAGGTATATACTCATTCCATGTAGCAGGCCCTCTCCTCTTTTTTGCATCGTGTTTATTGTTTGACTGCTTCTTTGAATTTTACTTGTGCCGACCATATAGATGCTCAGAGATGCGGGTTTTCATGAAGTTGTGGCCGAGGATCGTACTGAACAGGTATGTAATTTACAGATCTTGTCTTAAACTGATCTGCAAGGCTAGCAATATATTGATACAGACCTAATTTCTGCACTTGCATTGCAGTTCATTGAGGTTCTGCAAAAGGAGTTAGATACTGTGGAGAAGGAAAGAGAGTCCTTTATCCATGAGTTCTCTGAAGTGAGTGCTTCATTATATGATACACTTTGTAATTTGTATCTTTTAATTTTTCTCATCTTTTGTGGATTGATTTTCTTCTTTTTCTTATTTTAAAATATTACAGCAAGACTATAATGAAATAGTTGGAGGTTGGAAGGCTAAGTTAATCAGGAGTTCATCTGGTGAGCAGAGGTGGGGCTTGTTCATTGCCAAGAAGAAATGATTTATCCAAACGTGTGGGGGATCCATTTCCATTTATGTACCAGAGTATGAACATTTCTTCCAGTTCTAAGTTAATCAGGAGTTCATCTGGTGAGCAGAGGTGGGGCTTGTTCATTGCCAAGAAGAAATGATTTATCCAAACGTGTGGGGGATCCATTTCCATTTATGTACCAGAGTATGAACATTTCTTCCAGTTCTATGTAATAATTGTTTTACCTGCGATTTAGGGATAAAAAACATTACTAGTATACTGCTTCCCTCATCTTGGACGAATTTGTTCTTCATTTGCTTATCATTCTGCCTCGGATTTTGATGCACGTCGCATCCTTAATGGGTTTCATATTTCGTGATATGTTGTGCATTTGTTCCGTCACACCATATTTAACTAGTGTAGTGTGAGTTAGGAATTGTCGGCTTTCTGTATGCGTGCCTGCTGATCATTCAACTAATAATTATTATCTTACAAAACCACTTTTCATGTTAGTTTAAAGTTATTGATAGTGTTGCAAGCTCCCCTTCCTTTAACATTAAGAAAGAGAGGATGGGGAAGTAATTATCATGTGACATGATCCAATTCATTTAGAAGGAAATTTTTGCAGAAAGTTGTGTACTCACTATTAGTTTTAATGTAACATAAGCGGGTGAGATTCATGACACACAAACTTAAGAAGTGTCTTCAACATATATTAGGTAAATTTTGCAATTAAATTCTACTAACTAGAGTAGAATCCTTTTAGTATAAAGTCAGGACAAGAATACAATACGTTGTGTTCTTGCCACTGACACCTTTTAAATGAACAAAAGTAGTAAACAGATAAGAGGTTCACAGTATCAGAAATGCATAAACACAGCACAAATATAGTAGAGAAACATAAATCTAATGGAGTTTCAGGTTCATTGCAGCACGTAACATACGTAATAGCAGATTGGTCGAACACCTTTAATCTTCTCCAGTTTCATCTTCATACTCACTGTTTTCTTCAGCTGTGGCATCTTGATACTGTTGATACTCCGCCACAAGATCATTCATATTACTCTCTGCTTCAGTAAATTCCATTTCATCCATCCCTTCTCCAGTGTACCAATGCAAAAATGCCTTTCTCCTAAACATTGCAGTGAACTGCTCACTCACTCTCCTAAACATTTCTTGAATTGAAGTTGAATTCCCAATAAAAGTTGAAGACATCGAAAGCCCTCTAGGTGGTATGTCACAAACACTGGATTTAACATTGTTCGGAATCCATTCCACAAAATACGAAGAGTTCTTGTTCTGCACATTCATCATTTGCTCATCAACTTCTTTTGTGCTCATTTTGCCTCTAAACAATGCTGAGGCTGTGAGGTAACGACCGTGTCTTGGATCAGCAGCACACATCATGTTCTTGGAATCCCACATCTGTTGTGTCAGTTCAGGGACTGTAAGTGCTCGATATTGCTGAGATCCTCTTGATGTTAGAGGCGCGAATCCAACCATAAAAAAATGAAGCCTTGGGAAAGGGATTAAGTTCACAGCTAGTTTTCGAAGATCAGAATTCAGCTGGCCAGGGAATCGCAGGCAACATGTCACACCACTCATTGTTGCTGAAATCAGATGATTCAGGTCTCCAACTGATCACAACAATAAAACAGATGAATTAGAACAAACTTTTTTCTTCCGTAACAGTAAAGTCACAATATCTTTTTTCATATTAAAATAACTGAACTTTACTCACTATAACCACTAGAAGTCACCTTGACGGATAGACTTTGTCGTAAAAGTAAAGTTACTTAATTGTGACAAAAAATAGTTTTGTGACTTTATAGTGGATTAAGTTCAATGACCAGAGATTAATCATGCTGATAAAAGTATTAGTAGGTGTTTTGGTTGTTCTTACAACTTGGTGTGGAGAGTTTCAGAGTCCTGAAGCAGATGTCATAGAGAGCTTCATTATCAAGAACCATACACTCATCAGCATTTTCAACCAGTTGATGGACTGAAAGTGTAGCATTGTAAGGCTCAACCACTGTGTCTGAGACTTTTGGTGATGGGAAAACAGAGAAGGTAAGCATCATTCTGTCTGGAAATTCTTCTCTGATCTTTGATATCAACAGTGTTCCCATTCCTGATCCTGTCCCTCCTCCAAGTGAGTGACACACCTGAAATCCTGTATTCATATTTTCGCGTTATCATAAAAATAACATATTCCCTCTATGAAACAAATTGTTTTTCTAAGAGAAAAAGTTCAAATTTACTCTTCTACTATACAAACTATCTTGACTTTACTTTCCATACTATTTCCTATGGAAAGTACTAATATGGGTTATGTGGATCCACGAGTCAAAATAAATTTAAAATACTTGCTTTATTAACCTTGTAAGCAATCGGAGTTTTCAGCTTCTTTTCGAACAACATCAAGAACAGAGTCAATAAGTTCAGCACCCTCAGTATAATGTCCTTTAGCCCAATTATTTCCAGCACCAGATTGTCCGAAAACATAGTTATCAGGGCGAAAAATCTGTCCGAAAGGACCTGATTTGATGCTGTCCATAGTACCAGGTTCAAGGTCCATGAGAACTGCCCGTGGCACGTAACGTCCATTTCCAGTTTCATTGTAATAAACATTAACTCTTTCAAGCTGCAATTCTGAATCTCCACAGTATTTTCCAGTTGGATCAATCCCGTGTTCGTCACATACAACTTCCCAGAATTTTGATCCTATTTGATTCCCACATTGTCCTGCTTGAATATGAAGAATCTCACGCATTTTCAAAGTTTCTTTTTTTTTTTACACAAGTTTTGAATTAATATTGAGGATGTTATATTAGGTAATATATATACAACTAATGATTTGTTTGATCCAACGGTTAAGAAGTGTCCGTCCTGTTGAAATATAACAATGGATATTTTGTGGGTGGCCTCTCATGATCAAAGTTTGCCATTTGTGCCTCTTTCTCTTGAGATGTGCCGTCCTTTCCTAATAT